CTTCTAGTCTAACAACATGCAAGGGTTTAAATGGTGCATCACTCCCACTTCAGAACAGTGTGATAACAGATTACCCTGTTAGTGGGGTCTAGTATTAAGTCTCTGCCCAAAAGCCAAGGCATGTGGCACATGGGTCACAGAGCTTCCTTCAGCAGCTTGGGAGGGTCATACATGTAGACCTGTGGCTTGCACCTATTGGTGCTTCTCGGTGGGAGACGGCCCTCTCCCGGCACCAGTCCAGAGCGCATAGCACAGCATTCACCCCTCCATACATCCAAGCATGACATGCGTCCGAAAATGCATGCACATAATAAACAGCAGAGTCCTAGCTGAGACTGCAGACACGTGACATCTGAGTTTAGTTATTTATTTACAGGATCAAAATAAAGGCTGTGAGGGATTTACACCCAATGCCTAAGCCAAATCCAACCTACATCTTGAATCAATAAAGTTGTGGCCAATTTTTAAATCCCAGAATTGTCCTGTCCACTTTGTTCACCTTCTTGTCTCAGGGCTTGCTCCCAGGGTTAGGGCAGGGCAGAGGTGTCACTGCAAGTGGGTCTGCAATAATAATAATAATAATAATAATAATAATAATAATAATAATAATTGGTTGGCTTCAGTGGAGGTTGTGAGGAGTGATCCAGAGGAAGAGGAAGAAATGATACTCAAAGATGGACTTAAAGGCTATACCCTCAGGCTATGAACATTCATTAATTGGAAACATGAAAGCAGAAATACCTGAGACATATGCTGGAGGAGACAGAAGTGGCTGGATAGAGAAGTAGTCCTAGAGTTTCAGGGTCAAGATCTGTTCTCATTAGCCTTAGTTGCCAGGAATAGAAATGATTAAATAAAGAAGAAGAAAGATTTGGGATTTCATAGCTCACTGCTCCTTGTGACCCAATGAGTCCCTTGTCAAACCAGCATATATGTAGCATGACCTCTCTTCTCTTTCAGTTGCGTTTAGCCTTAGTCCTTGGATTCCAATCTCTTTCAAAGTCAATGGCAATTCTAGAGGTGTGGTAGAATATATTACCATATCAAGCATGAAGGTCAAGGGCATTTATGTGTATCACCAATGTAATCCTTGTTCTGATGATATATCTGAGGGAATCAAAGATGTCTCTATTCCCCTGAAGTATGTGCTCCCTCCCTCTTTTCTTTTTCTAACTCTGAAAAACTACACACTTCACATCCCTATTCCAATTTTGTCATTCAGTTTAAACACCTCAAGGGACATTTTGCTTTGGATGACATTTAAGTCCCTTTAAAAATGGTGTGAGGTTTCTTGGACTCCATTTCCCATCAGCTCCAGCCAATATGGCTAATGGTAGGGAATTGAAGAGATTAGTCCCTCTTCTCAGCTCTCCAGGATTCTACTGCTCTGACCTAAACATATATATGCATAGTCTGAACTTAGAAAATAGGCATTTAAATTGATATCTTTTATGGATAGAGACAATGACTAGGTAAAAAAATGTAATGCAATATATACGCTGAAGTGTGAGATATCAGAACAAAAGTGTGCTTGTTCAGGACACAATTTTACATTTTGTTAAAAACCATCTCTCTCTACACACCCACCCAACTCTTTTAATGAGACTAGGAAAGATGCTCTGTAATGTGACTTTGGAGCATTGACATAGCCCATTATTCAACGAACCTCACTGTGAGAAGTGAGGTTACAGGGAACCAGACAGAGGGCCGTCTCGGTAGTGGCACCCACCCTGTGGAACGCCCTCCCAACACATGTCAAGGAAATAAACAACTATTTGACTTTTGGAAGACCTCTGAAGGCCTGGGAAGTTTTAATGTTTGATGTTTCATCATGTTTTTAATACTCTTTTGGGAGCTGTCCAGAGTGGATGGGGCAACCCAATCAGATGAGTGAAAAACAAATAAAATTGTAAACATCAGTTGGCTACTGCATGATAAATTGACAGCAACAATCGCAGATAACAATGGGTCTCAAAGTGAACCATTCACAGTGGGAGCAGGTGTTAAACAGAGTTGTGTTATTGCCCCAACTCTATTCATTATTTTCATTGCCATGATCCTGCACTTTGTCAAAGGGAAGCTCCCCACTGGAGTAGAAATCATATATCGAACAGATGGAAAGCTCTTCAACCTGAGCAGGCTGAAAGCAAAGAATAAGGTTACCGTAACTCCCGTCATAGCACTTCTGTATGCTGATGACAACGTACTGTGCACACGCTCAGAGGATGACCTCCAAAACATCCTAAATATCTTTGCAGAAGCTTACGAAAAGCTTGGCCTATCACTCAACATCCAAAAAACCAAAGTGCTGCACCAACAAGCACAAAATAACCCCTCTGCAGCGCCACAAATCCAACTCACTGGAGTAATATTGGAAAATGTTGATCACTTCTCCTACCTAGGCAGTTATCTTTCCACAAGGGCCAACACTGATGCCAAAATCCAGCATTGCCTGAGCTCTGCGAGTACAGCTTTCTCCAGATTGAAGTGCAGAGTGTTTGAGGACATTCGCAGGGAAAACAAAATGCTTGTTTACAAAGCTATTATACTACCAACCTTACTATATGCTTGTGAAACATGGACCACTTATAAACGCCATCTTCAACTCCTCGAAACATTCCAACAACGGCGTCTCCGAAAATTTTTACACATCACTTGGGAAGACAGGCGAACTAATATCAGTGTACTGGAAGAAGCAAAGATCACCAGTGTTGAAACAATGATTCTTCAACATCAGCTTCGTTGGGCTGGTCATGCCTGATGGGCATCTTCCAAAACAACTACTCTATTCTAAACTTAAAAATGGAAAGTGTAATGCTGGTGTTCAGCAAAAGAGGTTTAAAGACTGCCTCAAAGAAAATCTTTAAAAATGTAGCTATAAACACTGACAACTGGGAAACACTGGCCTGCGAGCGCTCCAGTTGGAGAACAGCCTTTACCAAAGGTGGCATGGGCTTTGAAGACACTCAAACTCAGGACGCAAGGGAGAAATGTGCTAAGAGGAAGGCACGCTTGGCAAATCCACACCGTGATCAACTCCTGCCCAGGAACCAATGTCCCCACTGTGGAAGGACATGTAGGTCCAGAATTGGCCTCCAGTCACTTACGGACTCATTGTTAAAATCGTGTTTATGGAAGACAATCTTACTCGGCTATGAGTGATTGGCAATGAAAACTATAACTCATCCCCATCATCATTATTTTTTAACTCTGCCATCATTGCATAAAGTTCAATCAGACTTGAGTGAGCCACCTCCAAAGTAAGTGGCTCATGGATTCTAGCCAAAGACAAGTAAACTTTCTCAGGAACCTGGCACACTGCACTGTTGTTCATCAAGCTTTGCTCTGACTAAGCTGGTTTGGACACTTTTCAAACTCAGTTTAGGACACACTGGTCTCTCATCCATCAAAACAAGCATTTTGTCAGATTCAATTGAAACGGTCTTTATTAAACAGTGCACTGATCACAAAACTACAACTTGTGGGTGGCGAGCAGCTGCTCAATCAAGTTGGGCAAGTATAACTGGAGAGATCTCTATTTCAACAACTGCTTACATTACTGTTTTAACTTTTACATGGACATTTATGTTTCACCATCCTGTTAAGGAAAACGCTGATAAGTTTCCTGACAGTGACATTTCCTGGCTATAGGTGAGATGAAGCTTGAAAGGCATTCTGCATGCACAAGAACAAATATCTGTATATCTTGGGGGGGGGAGGATCCACATTAAAACGCTGACGAATCAGCATGAGGACTTTTAAAAATTCACAAAATGCGGCAGAGCAATGGAGAACTGAAGTAAAAGCTGAGAAAATGAGAAACGGAGGGAAAGCAAAATGCGAAGAGTCGCCAGTCTCTAGTTTTGACTCAATTTCTGTCAGCACACTCCTGCTGAGTTCAGTATTAGAGGGAACACAATATTGCTCCATGAGAATAATACATTGTGTCTTAATGCACAGCTAGTCTGTACACCACCAGCACACTAGCCAAGGAAGATTTCTTGTGCACTAGTAGGCTAGAGTGAGTTAAGTCATGACTCCATTCCAAATGATTCCTATAAAAGCTTTTCAATCAAGTTTGCTAAAGCGTGTTCTCCTTCATGGAGAGCATGTGTTGCGGTGGGGGCCGCCAGGACACTCCAAAGTTGGGGGGCAGGCTACTTGATCGTTGGCCACTGATGCGATTGGGACTTCCCTTGTTGTTGGGAAGAGGTTAATGTTGCCATTTATTGATTGACAGCCAGAAATACTAAAACTCCTTGCACGAGGCTAAGGCTTCCTCTTTTCACCCGTGCATCGGATTGCCCGTCCCTCCCTCCCTAGAATAGGGTTGTTCGCTTTGACCTTGCTATGCCTGTCATGGGGTCGTCTGCTTTGGAGTGGGGGCCTGGTAGGAATTTTGTCCATCTGGCTGATTGGCTGGGGCCATTTGGTTTTTGCCTACTGCGTAGCAAATCATCACAACTTGTAAGTTTTGCGGTTAGGCATTGGTTTATGGTTTGGTTGGTTGAGGGGCATGGATTGGCTGTGCCTGCCCCTCTAATGCTGCTGCTGCAAGGGATTCCGTTAAAGGAATTGGGGGCTAACTATTGCTTGTCCACTCTGTCAAGGGGGCTCGGGCCATAGCAATGAGCTCCTGGTTGCATTTGGGGTGAGGACAGGTTCCCTGCTCCGTTGCTACCCCCAAGTGTATTCCCCTATTCTGACTTTCGCATCGTGCGGAATGTCAGTTTGTCCCCCATGATGGGGGCAGATAGTCGCAACCAATGCCTACGCAACCACTCACAAATTTGTATTTTAATAAAGTTGTGGCCAAAATTATGCCAAAAATCTTAAACAAAAAATTCTGTGTGATGTGTGAGTTATTGGGGTGGCCCTGGGGAACTCGACACGCAAGTACGGAGTGCCTTGCCACAAATCATAGAAATGCAGAATTGGACAGTCAGAAAGGGTCCTGAGGATCATCTAGTCCAACCCCCTGCAATGCAAGAATATGCAGTTGTCCCATATGGGGATCAAACCAGCAACCTTGGTGTTATCAGCCCCACACTCTAACCAACTGAGCTATCCAGGCTTGCTGTTCCAATGTGCAGCATCCATGTCTGAAATATAGTATGGCTAGCCTCAACCTGCACTCCCCACAACATGAGCATACTTTATTCCTTTTCCATTCTTTTGGTTTGCAAGCGATTATTATTGTGTTGCTCCTAATCTGTCTTTTTCTTCTGGGGGGACACACACCCCTAAACATTTTGTGAATCTTTGTACTTTTGTCCAATCACTGTATTTATTTTCCCCGATTTGAACTATAAAATGGTGATTTTCTTGAGCCAAAATGAGAGTACCCCTAAGCATTTTTGGGGGGGAGGAGGGAGCACTACCTGTCAAGGTCTGGTCTATAGGTGATCAAAGTCCCGGCTGAGGATGCTGGGACCGGGGGCAAGATGGTGGGGTGGGAGCAGGAACGAGAGTCCAAAAGCCAGGGGTCCGAGGGTCAGGAAGCAGGGAGTCATGAAGTCAAGGGTCCGAGGGTCAAGAAGCAAGGAGTCAAGAAGCCGAGATCCGAGGATCAGGAAGCAAGAAGCCAAACACAGCAAGGCAGGAAACGTGCTGCTGTGGCAAAGAGCCGAAGGAAAATGCTGACCTTATATCCCTTCCCGGCTCTTGCCACCAGGTGCAGCAAGTTACCAAGCGGCCTCACCTGTGCGGCTGTGCCTTGCCTCTCCAGAACAAATTTAGGAAGGCCCCAGTCCTGCGAAGCCCTACTGGTCCCAGGGCCTGGCTCCTGCACGCACTCCTGACACTGCCTCTATTTCTTTGCAATCATAGAATTGTAGAGTTGAAGGGAATCCAAGAGTTAATCTAGTCCAACCCCCTTCAGTGTAGGAATCTCAATCAAAGTACCCATGACAGATGGTCATCCAGTGTCTGCTTAAAAACTTCTGATGAAGGAAAGTCCACCATCTTCAGAGGGAGTCTGTTCCACTGTTGAACAGCTCTTAACTGTCAGAAAGTTCTTCCTGATCTCAGGCAGCAAATTTTTTCTCCCCCACCAAATAAACCAGGGTGAGCCGGGCTGTGGCTGTAAAACCTTATGACATATAGCTCCAGCCTTCCAAACTTTCCCACACTTTCTGTCTTTTCTAGAGAGATTAAAGCAATTCATCACCAGACCAGATTTATATACAGCCACAGCGAGACAAGCAGTACAAAGGAGACAGCTCACAGGAGCTTCTCCAGAGTTTACCTTGCAAGTGTGCTTTGAAAGCTAAGCCTCTGAGTTGACAAGCTCTGAATAACAACCTCATGTTGAACTCTTGCATGCGTCAGGTTCTTGCATATGCAACCTCTGCCATATTATTGACTTTCTGTCCTAATGATGACCAAAACATATTAAGGGCTAATCTGTCGGGTTGGTCAACTAAAGCTTTGGTGGACGAACACAGAGAGCTGATCTTTAGAGGGTGCGCTTGTTCATTTTGAGAGGTTACGTAGTTCTGCTATGTGTGTTAATGTTAAAGATGCTAGCAAAATTTCTCAAAGAAGAACTTATCATGCTCAAAGGAGAGGTGAGTTTTACAAGCCCCACAAATAAAACTCCAGTTCAGATTGAAATCACAACTGGAGAGCGATTGCTGGCTTCCCTATGCAATCACTTCATTATATATATTTTAAGTGCCAGGCGAAAATGTTTCTCTTCAACCAGGCCTTTGGCTAATTAATATTCTACAGCCTTTTAAATTTGTTTGTAGGAAGGAAGCGGTATTGTTTTGCTGCTGTGTTTTACTTATTTACTTGTTCTTTTTTTTTTACAAAAAAAAATGCTTTTAAAAAATATACAAATCACCATCATATTTTCTTCCGTATTAACATACATAATCTAGTCGGGGGACTTCCGGGGAGGCGCCTCTGGTAATGGCTGAATTCCTCTGACAGGGAGGAATCTGCTCCGTGGGAATCTGGGTCTGGCCACCACGGCAAAGGTGGAGACCCGTTAAAATCACAGGCGGGAGAAGCCTGTGAACGTGGGATTCGGCGGGCACCTTTTGCACCTCCCCCACTCACGGGGAACCCCGGAGCGGCTCCGGAGCGATGTGGGGTGAGCGGCGCGGTGCATCGAATCGTCTGCTTCTTCCACGGAGCGAAGCCGCATAGCTGTTGCCGGAGAGCGCTGACCTTTTCCTGTGGACAATTTGACTTTAAAGTAATTACCCGTGAGTAGAGCGGAAGAATTGGATTTCTAAATGTTTAATTTGGTACCGTAATGGGGAGGTTCAAAACAGGAAGTCCGCCTCCCCCTTTTGTAAATAGACTGAGGCAATGAAGTTGTAAGCTGGAGTCCTGGAAGGTCTTTTGTAAAAGATCAAAGTTCCAACGGTAAAGAACATTAAACCCCCTCTTGGAGGCAGGAGAAGAGAGGGGGAAGTTGCGGATTGAGTATGTCTGCGGGAGAGAGCGAAGAGACTCAAAACACCACCGCTCTGACCCTGGAAACGGGCTGCTAGTAGGACTGACGTCTTTTGGAATGTTCATTGACAGCGATTAGAACGTTCATTGACAGCTAGTTAAATAAGAGAAATACATTGTTTCTACTGTCTCCGGCTGCTTGAAAAAGGAGTAAAAGTAACTGACAATTGAAACTAATTTGAAACTAATTTTGGATTGTTTAAAAGAGGATACTATTGACTATTACAAATAGAAACTGTTTCCCCCTAGTGGAAGCCTTTGAAACCGGTTGCTTTACAAGAGTTGGGTTAGGGAAATTTCCAGCTGCAAGCTAAAAACCGTGAGACTCTGGGACTGACCTTGAATCTTTTAAGTGTTATGGTTAATGGAAGAGGAAAAACAGACCAGTCAACTGCTGACAAAACATTAAGGTCTGGGAGGACTTGGTAACAATCCAGGAGAGGTCTATCATTAGGCCCTCCTGTTCTTTCTGTTGCTGTCTTTGTGCTAGTATATTTAAAACTAAGAGGAATGTCGACAGAAGAGGCTTTAGTGGTTGCATTATATAAGATAAATGACTCATTGGATCAGCTTCACAGGAAAATGGACACGATAAATGCGAAAGTGGATGTTTCAATTACTAAAATTAACTTAAATACATAAAGTATAAACAATACCAATACAGAAACCACCCAGAAATTGATACAGGAACCTACTTTGATACGGCAAACTGCGGAGGAAGCCAGGGAAAAAGCCGTTGTTGCTGAATGTGGAGTAACACAACTGGAGAGAAAGACAAAGAGAGCCCCAGCCCTACAGAGGCAACTTGAGGAACATAAGCTGACGCTCGCTATGACTGAACTTAAAGAAAAACAGACGAATTTGAGGATTAGAGTTCACCTTTGGTGGACATGCCCAAGGATAAAGACACTCTGGGTGATGATTCATAATGAAATGAAAAAGGCATTTAAATATACCCTTTTGAAGAAACCAGAGGCCTTTCTCCTGGGCATGGTCGGCCAATTGGTGTTAAAGAAGGATAGAATTTGTTTCATGTATGCAACAATAGCAGCAAGAATACTCATTGTGAAGTACTGGAAGACACAAGATTTATCCATTCGGGAAGAATGGCAGATGAAGTTGATGGACTATATGGAATTGGCGGAAACGACTGGCAGAAATCTGAGACCAGGGAGAAGAGCTGGTGGAAGAAGACTGGAAAAATTTAAGACTATTTATAGAAATATTGTAAAAACAATGAATGTTAGAAAAATGTTGGAATGAAGTTATATGGCTTTAGTAGAAATGCTATAAGGAATCAAGTATAAATAGATTAATAGTGTATTAAAGGGAAAATAAGGTTAGAATATGTTAAGATAATTATTGGATAGAAAACAGAGGAAGATGGAAAGGAATTGCTGAAATAATTAATAGAAGTGGGAAACAAAAAGGGAGGTGTGAGGAGGTCGTGGAAATAAGGGAATGAAAGATAAGACATTGAAATTGTTCTGTGTTTGAAATGGTTTGTGTCTTGCTTTGTTAATTTCATGTTTTTCTTTTTTTTCTTTTTCTTTCTTTCTTTTTTTTCTTTCTGTTTGGTTGTGTTTAAATGGTTGAAAATTAATAAATATTATTTTTTAAAAAAACCATACATAATCTAGTCACTCTTCTATCCAATCTCATTTTACTAATACAATAGTTGACTTCCCCCTTTGTCATCTTTCTTTATTTCCTTACCTTGTACTGTGTTCTAGCAAACTTTCATCCTTCTCTTTATATAATATATTTCCTCCGATTTATATATATATATTTGTGAAATTTACTCTAGGCACATCCAAGTATTACTTTGGGAACCATACTTACACAGATATTTTTTAAAACAATCCCATTCTTTTTTTATTTTTATGTTCGAGTGATTTCTTATTGCTTCTATCATTTTGGCCCATGCAAGTAATGGAACAACTTTGCTTATTGCGAAAGGTCCTGCAGGATGTCAAGCAGGTAATTTTCCCAAGCCTTTTCAGATTGAATTTTGTGTGTGGATGGGGGGGTGGGGATACACAATATCTTCTGATTTTTTAAGTGGATGGAAAAGAACTCTGGTAATTTCCTGGTTAATCTGAGGTGAACTTGCCCACCTCGAGTTAGCATAATACAAAATCAAACCTATTAATTATATCATTTTCTTCTAACCCTTTGAAGTGGTAGCTTAAAAACAACAACAACAGGAAGCATTAGTTAGCTCAAACTTCTATGACTACCTGCAAAAAGCAGAAGTGCTGCACACTGGGCAATAGGCACATTTATTCATAAGTCTTTGAAAAATTCATCATAAAGTTTCTGTTTTTGTTCATTGACCGACAGATCTATAGATCTATAGGTCTGTAGCAGCTCTACCTAGGATGAAACTGCTAGAGATAGAAGATATAGAGAAGCTGGCTCCGGTGACTGTGCCTGCTTACTTAGAAATAAACCCCACATTTTAGTACAGTGGGATTCCCAGAAAATTATCATTAAATTCCATGACAGAGCCAGAAGAGGGAGCACACATCACTGTTTTTGTGCTGAGCAAACAAGTAAACAAATGCCTCCAATTACTTGAAGTTCTCTGCCATTATTGCTTATTAG